ACAAGACGTTAGTGTTGGCTTTCTCTAAAAAAAATTACTAATGAATTTCCTTAAAAAAAACAGGAACACAAAACCCTGCTTTGTCACAAGAATCAAGGTAAATGTAAAATATAAAAATAATTGCTTATGGCTCTGGTATTGGCAGAAACACAGAAATAGTATAAAATTTTTATCCTCATTCAAAGCCATTAATCTTTGTTTTCAAACAAAAGCAATTCAAGTGATCCCTGCTTTTACATTGCATTAACCTTGGTTATTGCTTTTACATTGCATTAACTTTTGGTTATTGGTTTTATATTGCATTGACCTTTGGTTATTGCTTTTACATTGCATTGACCTTTGGTTATTGCTTTTATATTGAATTGTACCTTTGTTTATTGTATTTACATTGCATTGACCTTTGGTCATTGGTTGTACATTGCATTGACATTTGATTATTGCTTTTACATTGCACTGACCTTTGATTATTGCTTTTACATTGCATTGACATTTGGTTCTTGCTTATACATTGCATTGACCTTTGGTTATTGCTTTTACATTGAATTGACCTTTGGTCATTGGTTGTACATTGCATTGACCTTTGATTACTGCTTTTACATTGCATTGACCTTTGGTTATTGCTTTTACATTGAATTGACCTTTGGTTATTGCTTTTACATGCATTGGCCTTTGGTTATTGCTTTTATATTGCACTGACCTTTGGTCATTGGTTGTACATTGCATTGACCTTTGGTTATTGCTTTTACATTGCATTGACCTTTGGTTATTGCTTTTACATTGCACTGACCTTTGGTTATTGCTTTAACATTGAATTGACCTTTGGTTATTGCTTTTACATTGCATTGACCTTTAGTTATTGGTTGTACATTGTATTGACCTTTGGTTCTTGCTTTTACATTGCATTGACCTTTGGTTATTGCTTTTACATTGCACTGACCTTTGGTTATTGCTTTTACATTGCATTGACCTTTGGTTATTGCTTTTACATTGCATTGACCTTTGGTTATTGGTTGTACATTGTATTGACCTTTGGTGATTGCTTTTACATTGCATTGACCTTTGGTTATTGCTTTTAAATTGCATTGACCTTTGGTTATTGCTTTTATATTGCATTGACCTTTGGTTATTGCTTTTACATTGCATTGACCTTTGGTTATTGCTTTTACATTGCATTGACCTTTGGTTATTGGTTGTACATTGTATTGACCTTTGGTTATTGCTTTTACATTGCATTGACCTTTGGTTATTGCTTTTAAATTGCATTGACCTTTGGTTATTGCTTTTATATTGCATTGACCTTTGGTTTTTGCTTTTACATTGCATTGACCTTTGGTTATTGGTTGAGTTTGTTGAATTCTCTGAGTATAAGAGAATGCTGACATACAGCTGATCAGTTGCCATCATATCCTGTCATCAAAACGATGAGAATCAATAGAAAACTGATTTTATTTCACAAAACCTATGTTGTCTGTCAGAGTTAATAGAAGCAAACTATTAGACAAGACTTCCTGATCAACAAAGATCAGAATGTACATCAGATCAGATGTAATAAGATCATTATAACCACATTGATGGTTTTCACAAAATATAATGTATATTTTATCCTGATTTAATAGCCTATTTAAATCAATCTAATGTTTGCTAGACTGAGGTATGGGTCCGTGGGGATGAAAATTCTCATTTGAGGATAGATGAGAACATGTCCATAATGTCATGTAAACCACAAGGCATTTATCTCATTAGAATCACACCAGCTCCCTGTCAACCACCTACCTTACCGCTCCTGTCAACCACCTACCTTACCACTCCTGTCAACCACCTACCTTACCACTCCTGTCAACCACCTACCTTACCACTCCTGTCAACCACCTACCTCACCACTCCTGTCAACCACCTACCCTTACAACTCCTGTCAACCACCTACCTCACCACTCCTGTCAACCACCTACCTTACCACTCCTGTCAACCACCTACCTCACCACTCCTGTCAACCACCTACCTCACCACTCCTGTCAACCACCTACCTTACCACTCCTGTCAACCACCTACCCTTACAACTCCTGTCAACCACCTACCTTACCACTCCTGTCAACCACCTACCTTACCACTCCTGTCAACCACCTACCTCACCACTCCTGTCAACCACCTACTTTACCACTCCTGTCAACCACCTACCTTACCACTCCTGTCAACCACCTACCTTACCACTCCTGTCAACCACCTACCTCACCACTCCTGTCAACCACCTACTTTACCACTCCTGTCAACCACCTACCTTACCACTCCTGTCAACCACCTACCTCATCAATCCTGTCAACCACCTACCTTACCACTCCTGTCAACCATCTACCTGACCACTCCTGTCAACCACCTACCTTACCACTTCTGTCAAACACCTACCTTACCACTCCTGTCAACCGCCTACCTTGCCATACCTCTTTTAACAAATTCTTCCCTTTCCTTCTATCAATCCCTTTACAAAACCTACTACGCCTCCCCTAACACGTCATTTTTTCACTTCCCAATATCATTCCACTTCGTCATCAGCCCTCCCCTCTCATACTACGCCCCCCTCTCATACTATCCCTTCCCTCTCATACTACCCCTCCTCTCTCATACTACCACTCCCCTATCATACTATGCCTCCCCTCTCATACTAACCCTCCCCTCGTAAACTATGCCTCCCCTCTCATACTACCCCTCCCCTCTCATACTACCCCTCCCCTATCATACTACCCCTTCCCTCTCATACTACCCCTCCCCTCTCATACTACCCCTTCCCTCTCATACTACCCCTCCCCTCTCATACTACCCCTCCCCTCTCATACTACCCCTCCCCTATCATACTACCCCTCCCCTCTCATACTATGCCTCCCCTCTCATACTACCCCTCCCATATCATACTATCCCTCCCCTATCATACTACCCCTTCCCTCTCATACTACCCCTCTCCTCTCATACTATGGCTCCCCTCTCATACTACCTCTCCCCTCTCATACTACCTCTCCCCTCTCATACTACCCCTCCCCTTTCATACTACCCCTCCCCTCTCATACTACCTCTCCCCTCTCATACTACCCCTTCCCTCTCATACTACCCCTCCCCTCTCATACTATACTAACCCTCCCCTCTCATACTACCCCTTCCCTCTCATACTACCCCTCCTCTCTCATACTAACGCTCCCCTCTCATACTATACTACCCCTCCCCTCTCATACTACCCCTCCCCTCTAATACTAACGCTCCCCTCTCATACTATACTACCCCTCCCCTCTCATACTACCCCTCCCCTCTCATACTACCCCTCCCCTCTCATACTATACTACCCCTCCCCTCTCATACTACCCCTCCCTACCCCTCCCCTCTCATACTACACCTCCCCTCTCATACTACACCTCCCCTCTCTTACTACCCTTCCCCTTTCATACTACACCTCCCCTCTCATACTACCCCTCCCCTCTCATACTACCCTTCCCCTCTCATACTACACCTCCCCTCTCATACTACACCTCCCCTCTCATACTACACCTCCCCTCTCATACTACACATCCCCTCTCATACTACCCCTCCCCTCTCATACTACCCTTGCTATCCCACTCCTATAAAACCTTCCCTTACCCTCCATTTCTATCTCATTTCTCTGTCCCATGACCCCCTCCCATTCTCCTACTGTTCCACATCTTCCCTTCACGTTCCTATCATATCAAGCTCACATTTATCCATCTATCTTCTAATCACTCAAAGATTTCACCTGAAAGATGTTACGGTAATTACTAATTATCAAGGTCACACTGCACATCTTAAACCTCATGAAAGTAGACAACAATTTCACTAATGAATGCTTTTAAAGGGTTCCGATTAGCATCCCGTATAAAAACAATATGGCGGCTCCAGGCGAATCAACTGGATCAGTCCATTTTTAAGAAATAAGGGGAGTTCTGTAAAATCCAGTTTATTGAATTTGTCTTTGAGATAAAGTAATCCGTTTATAATAATTTTGAAAACGTTATCCTATGAGTAATTGCCTTCAAAGAATACATGTACTACAGCCAATATAAATCCTTGTATTAGAAACCGGTTTGTCTTGCTTTGTTTTATTTGTAGGATATTTCATATGCCAAGCTGTGTGCTATTACGTTATGGGGAAATTTAGATGCCAATTTTTCCTTATTATATACAAATAGAAGATCCTGAAACTTCACCCATAAATGTGGAATTGATTTGTCAAAATAAAAATCACCCTTTTATAAATGTGTGACGATCTATAATATACTTATGCTATATAACAGTTAGAGGTGTTGACACAACGACCTCGAACCTGTGAACCCTATATAGTGTTTAAGACATCAGTTGAACACCTACACAATTGGATGATGGCAATACACATTTACTTTCAATTTATTGCCACTGAAAACGACATCAGCAGAAACTATCAAATCGGCAATGAGGCCAAGCTGTCTTTTGCCAGCACCGATGTTCGCACACACAATAATGCCGAAAACGTGAGTGAAATATTGTATAAAATCACCATCTACATGACCACCGGCACAATTGTAATACAAGGAAAGTCTGCGAAGACTTTGTTTGTAGAAAGCTTCCCCAACCTAAAAGAACTGAGAGACTTCATTGCCAGGCAAGATGAATCTTTTGATATCTCCAGTGTCCACCAGAACTCCCTTTTGGACTCAACATTAGAGACACACGCGTCATCAACAACATTACTGAAGGTGATAACCCCATTACCATTACAATCAATTGAAGTAAAAAGTCATTGCGAAAACAACAATCAGACATCAATTGAAGAACAAAGTAATTGTGAAGAAGATTCTCTTGCAGATGTCTTGCTCTTATTAAACCAAATAGATGAGAGAAACCAAAAGAGATGTGATCAACTGGAATCACTCATTCGAGACCAAGAAGTCAGACTTATGAGGAGTCTGAAAACTGAGGCCCGATCGCTCCTTGACGAAATCAAGCACTCGTCAGACTTGACAAAGTCATTTCATTCTGATACTACAAAAGAGATACGTGAAGTTAAAGGTGCAATCCAACGAATGCAGAATGCACCTACAAAACCAAAAGAACCTAAGGCGCCTACCGCTGCTTCAAAACCACATGAGCCTTGTGAGGATATGCCCCTGGCACATTTACAGTCTGAGATCATCAAAGACAATGTCCAAACTCAAGCTCCCACCATATCTTCCCAGCGACAAGAACCTCATGAGGATTTACCTAGAACATCTCCTCACTCTGCCAGAGGTCGTACTACAAATGCCCCAAAAGATCAAGCCCAAAAGCCAATACGTACTCTCTACTTGAATAGGTCAACAACCTCCCTAATTATTGGTGACTCTCGACTAAGAAAAGTTAAACCGCAAAATCTTGGTGCACCTGTAGCAGTACGTACCTATGGAGGTGCTACCCTATCAAATATCAAGGATTCTATAGATTCTAGCAAAGATAGTCCTAATCTTAGAAACATCACACTTCAAGCTGGAATCATCGACATAAAAAATGGTTCGTCCATGCTTGACATCAAAGCTGATACAATGTTACTTATTGAGACAGCTAAATCTAAATTTCCAAATGCCAAATTCCTCATCTCATCTATTATACCGATGCTGAGCCACAAACTAAATGCATCTGTTAGGGAAGCGAACACCATGCTTGAATCATTGGCAAAGGCGACTCCCAATGTTTCCTTTCACTCATGTTATGAACAATTTGGAAGATTCAACACAGTAGATCGCAATCTTTTCTATGACCAGTCTCATCTCAATGATGCTGGTGTAGCAAAGCTTGAGACATTTCTAAAATCCCTTCCTGGAAACTGTGAATCCCCTAAGGAATCTTTACCTCAAGTCTCTGACGCAACTCAAACTGCTGTTTCCGACTCAACTGCCAGTATCCAACCAGTGCATCCTTCTAATACCCCGATTCCACAATCAAACAACCCCCGCTATGCTCCTGTACAACCATATGTGCATGACATACACTCTGGATTTAACTCATATAACCCCACTGCTGTCCATCCCGCCCATGTTTTACCTCAAGGACATCAGCGCTGGGCACAGTATGCTCCACCACCTTATGGATGGCAATGGAACCAACATCAACCTCAGGCCTCCCAGGTCAACCCAGGACTACACAATATGCCTATTATGGCATATTAAAATTTCTCGAATGTGTCCATAGTTCACATAGCTTTTTACAGAATAAGTTCTGTGCATTTGTAATTTACTAGTACTCCTGAAATCACCTGCAGGAACCAGTTTTTTTTTTGTGTTTTTTTTACGATCAGCCTATACTTGATTTGCTTTCAATCATAGGCATTGCGTTATCAATTTTCTAGGAATTTTATTATTGGACCTTAACATCTATCATTATTATCATTGTTATATTCTATTTTTATCAATCAAATTATCAAGCAAATGAATTATTCTTCACTCGAAGTGAATGATGCGCCATGCTATTGTACTACTCTACCATTTTATAATGTTCATGATAGCGATTTCCTATCTATAGCACCTTATGGTCCAAGTGCTTCTACTTTTGAAGATTTACTCTTTGATCCAATTTCATTTAACGATGCTGCTGACAACAGCAGTGAATCAATCAGAGGTATCACTGATAACCTTGTACAGCATTGTAACTACCACTCCCCCAATCAATTAAGTGAAGTTCTCAATTCTTCACCTAAGAATGGTCTTAGTCTCCTAAACTTAAATATTCGTAGTTTCTCTGCCAATCAACAAAAACTAGAAACAATGCTCAGTCTCTTAACTAAATCATTCTCAATAATTGGATGTACTGAAACTTGGCTGAAGAGCCATACCGAATGTCAAGCAACCCTCATGAATTATAATTCTGAATTTAATAGTAGAAAGATCAAAACTGGAGGAGGTGTCGGCCTTTTCATCAACAAAGCCGTAGAATATGTTAGACGTGATGATCTTCAGATCAACCACGACTCATGTGAATCCCTGACCATCCAGCTTACCAACTCAAAAAATAAAAACATCCTAATCTCAATTATATATAAACCTCCTAACACTAATCAAGAGGAATTCAATACTGATCTTCAAGCACTTCTTGATACTATCTCCAAGGAAAAAAAAACAGTGTATATTCTTGGTGATTTTAATTGTGACCTTTTAAAAGCAGAAAGCAACCATGCTACTCAGGATTTTTTAAATCTATTTTACTCACATAACCTTATACCACTTATCTATAGACCAACCAGAATAACCAGAAACACTGCGACTCTAATTGACAATATATTTACAAATGCTCCAAGTATTTCTAGAGCAGGTATTATTCTTGAAGACATATCTGATCACTTTCCAATATACGCCCTTACTGAAATGCAAGCCCAAAAAATTAAAACGTCCACAGTTTCATTCAGGCAATTTAATAACACCAATAAATCAAGCTTCAAAGAACAAGTCAAAACTATGATATGGCATAATATTGAAAATACTAACGATGTAAATGAAGCTTATTCCAATTTTGATAAAGAACTTTCAATCATATTCAATCAATGTTTTCCTATAAAAACATTCAAATCTTCATATTACTTTGACCCCTCACGCCCATGGCTTTCAACTGCAATACTGACATCAGCGAAACGTAAGAATAATTTATACAAAAAATTCATCCAATACCCCAATGAACATAATAAGAAAATCTACAAATCATTCAGTCATAAGCTCAAGCATATTATTAGATATGCCAAACAAATGCACTTTGAAAACAAATTTGCAATGGTGAGTGGAAACATGAAAAAAACATGGCAACTAATAAATCAAGTGTTGGGGCGCTCAAAGTTCAAAAAAACATCAACTGTCCCTATGCTTATTAACGGGGTCCTCAGTAATGATAGTTCAAAAATATCAAATGGTTTCAATAATTATTTTGCCAATATTGGTAAATCATTGGCAGATAAAATCCCCACATCTAATTCATCCTTTAAAGAGCATCTCAAGAAGATTAAACAAGTCTCTTCATCCTTATTTTTCAGCCCGGTAACAGAAAGCGAGCTATCAACGGAAATAACAGCCTTAAAAAATACAGCCGCGCCAGGCCTTGATGGGTTCAAGGCTGATATAATAAAATCTGTTGGTGCTTATCTCGTCAGGCCACTACTATATATCTTCAATCTCTCACTATCAACTGGAACATTTCCCAATCAATTAAAAGTAGGAAAAGTCACACCAATTTTCAAAAAGGGAGATACTCAGCTCTTTTCAAATTACAGGCCCATTTCAGTGTTATCCGTATTTTCAAAATTACTCGAGAGATGCGTACACTCTCGCCTTGTAAGCTTTCTAAACAAATTTGAAATACTTTATAAAAACCAATTTGGTTTCCAGAAGAAAAAGTCTACATACATGCCACTTCTAACTTTTATTGAAAAGATAAGATGTGCAAATGAAAGCAAAATTCCTTCACTAGGGATATCATTAGACTTCTCAAAAGCATTTGACACTATTGATCATAATATATTATTAGATAAACTCTCACACTACGGAATGCGCGGTGTTACCCTTTCTTGGTTTCAAAGTTACTTAACTCAACGTCTTCAGACTGTTATTTCTAATGGCTGTAAATCGAAACAAACCTCATTATCTCATGGTGTCCCTCAAGGTTCAGTGCTTGGTCCTATTTTATTTCTTCTTTACATAAATGACATCTACAAATCCTCTGATTTCTTTGAATTCATACTATTTGCTGATGATACCAATCTCTTGGCCTCTCACAAAGATTTACCCACTCTATTTGACACCGCAAATGAAGAACTTTCAAAGCTCAGTGACTGGATCAATGCCAATAAACTTTCTTTAAACATTGACAAAACTAAATGGATTCTCTTTGGACCAGGTAAAACTTCTAACAATCATTTTCTCAAAATAAATGACACCAAACTCAAGCAAGACATCACTATATCTTTCTTAGGAATAGCTATTGATGCCAATTTAACTTTCAAAGAGCATATCAAAAACTTAGAAAAAAAGATTTCTCAGTGCATTGGGGTCTTGTATGGAGTCCATAATCTTTTAACAAAAAGTGCTTTGCTCAGTATATACTACTCTCTTATTCACTCTCAACTCAATTACTGCAATATTATTTGGGGTAACAACTACAAATCTTATCTTAATAAAATTCACATGATTCAAAAACGATTTGTTCGCATTGTTTTAGGAAAAAAATACCTTGATCATACAGCTCCATTATTCAAAGAACTTAATCTTCTGAATATATATGATATAAATAAGCTGAATACAGCAATTTTCATGTACCAAGTAAAAGATGGTGACCAAATACTAAATTCTCTACTCGATACAAATTTCCAAATAAACTGTGATACACATAGTTATAATACCCGCCAATGTGACAACTTCCATATTGAACATGCGAACAAATTTTCCATAAAACGTAATGGGCCTTCACTATGGAATTCTCTTAAAAATTCCACAAAAATGTCAAAATCTATAATCTCCTTTAAAAAGGCCTACAAATCTGACCTCTTGTCAAGCTACTTATAAAAAATCTGTCTTATTAAACATCTTTATTTACTATCCACGCATTGTATATTACAATAGTCATGGCACATCATTTAAACACAACGTACATACATGCTTAGTGTATGCATTGTACTATGTTATATCATGTAAATACTTGTATAGATGAAACTCATATACCTATATACCCTTGTAAACTAGTTAGACTATATATATATATTTTTTATATTTGCTAGTGATACTTTTTTTTTGATACTTGACATTATACTTTTATATGCCATTTGGTGTCAGTATTAGTCATGTATTATTATTGTATATACATTTTTTCTAAATAAATAAATAAATAAAACCCTTGAGTATTATTCCGGGATCGGGCCTTTTATACTAAACGGTGAGCAACACCAGAAACGAGCGTTCGATTTGCTAAACGATATGCGTCACCCTTTAAATGTGTATTTGTATGCAAATCGCATCAGGATCATGAGTTATCAATCTAGCTCAGATTTCATAATAACATCTCAAAGTCTGACATTGAATGTAATTCCCTTATTGTGTGCAAATCCAAAACCCCCCTGAGAGCCATTTGTAATACTTCCCAAAATATAAATAAGGGGGTAAGTTGACTGCGAGTTTAATGTCAATATGGTAAAAATGTTATTTTGTATTATTAGGGGTAAAAACAATTTAGATAATTGAAAAAACATGTGGGTGTACTGATAATATTGTACTCCTGTCATCAATCAAGAGATTACATTAGTATAGGGGTAGTATAGGGGGATAGGGGTCTAGTTATTCATTAAATTACTTATCCAAAAATATCCACATCTTGACACAGCTCCTTAAATCAACAACTGGCTAACACGGTTTGGGGATCTGATATTAATTCTAATGTTAGAAATGTTATTATTCTTTGTTTATTTTGAAAATGCTGAAATGACATATTGAATAAGCAAACATAGAATACCAGATTGATTGATATCATTTTTATCAATGAGTTGATGGTACTGTATTGTGAAGAACACAAAGAGGTGAAACAAATCAAATCAAATTCACAAAGAGGTGAAACAAATGACTGTCATGTCTGATGAATGATCTCAGGAAAATATCACATCAATTTCTATAAAATCAGATCATTGGTTGTTATCATAACAGCTGTGAAAAATAAGTATAGAATGGTGTAATGTTAAGTCAAATCTACAATAAGAATTGTTGATTTATATATAAAAGACAAATAAAAAGGTGATATTATATTTTAACATAAACTGGGCAGCTCCATATTTTAAAAGACTCAGAAATGTGAAAACTCTCAGACTCCTACAACCCAGTGGTTACAGTAACCCTTCATCATATTTTATCACAATAATAAAGATTATTTCATTGCTCTTAACGTAGAATATGAGCGGAATATGAGATTCTAAAGTGGAATCTAAGACCTCCAATATTCTTACAGTCTCTATGCTTCTGAAGATAGGATATTGGAAACATAAATATTAGTCTTGCTTAAAGCATGGGCTTTCAATTAGATTAGACTGGTTGAAAGCCCATGCTTAAAGCTTCTGTATTACCCACACCCCCTTGATTTCCTGATGACTGTTGGTGA